GGAAATAGACGCGCCGCGAGTATCGCTGTGGCCAGCTGACGATCTCGGTTCAACAGCTCCACGGCGGTGCGCAATCAGATTACATAATTTATAATTATATTGTACGGTCATGTGTATTGTCAATTGAAAAAAAAAATTAAATTAAATCACATAGAAGACCTATATCATTATCCTTCATTAAAATTATAATAAATTTTAGCTTTAAATTGATATTAATATAGTAATTTAGGTATTATATAGTAATGTACAATCAAAAATTAACTATAAAATAAAATCATACGTTCATCAAAATCCACATCGGTCACGTTGATAAAAATAATTTTACTTGCACGAATGATATACATTATAGCTACCCAAAATGACCGTGGTCCGAGCCCCTCAATACATTTTAACATTCGTCCGCGTAATAAGAATTATGAGCTAATAAAATGAGTAATATTGATGCCAATGACATGACGAAGACACTCGACAATGGCTCTACGTAGTAGAATAAATCCTAGGGTTGGATTTTACTGTTCAATGACCACGCGCCATTGAATGAATAATTCTACATACAAATCCGGAAATTGGACTAGCGTGTTTGTAAAAATGAGACTTTGATAACTTCAAAAGGATATACTTCCCTATCTCGAAAGATTTTAATAACACTGACATCATTACGTTGTTAAATTATACAGATGCGTTACCATACGCATTATAACTGAAATAGTTATAGCCCGATAATTGGTAAAATCTCTCGAGCGTGATAGGTATAAATATAAAGAACTTCATATGCAAATGTCATCGTTTAATGATGTGCACGCGCTTTTGTATATTTATATAAGGTCTACGTTGTTTCCGATACGCCGAGCAACGAGGATAAACAATTCTGTTACGGGTTGTCCGAATGAGTCTCATAGGCATAATCCGGAGATTTCTAAAGAGTTGGCTATAAAGCATATTATTATTATTAATGTATACGAACACACTGTTTGATATATTAAATGGACTGAAAACACGTCGGTGGAAACAAATAACGGCAGTGGAAAATGCACTAAAATTTACCGGAAATGTATACATAACGAGACCTATCCGGTGTAATTCCGTATTAAATCATTTATAATGGTTATTAATAAGCACACGTTGTTGTGTCAATAGTGTCTGGGTTTTTAAAGTTTCAACCTCTGGTCTCGCGGTGATGGCGGACCGTTTTAATATTATGATATCTATAAAATATTATTTCCAAAAGTCATATCAAGAAATTTCAAACGGTCATCTTTTTTTTTTTCCCCCGTAATTGAATTTTGTTCAATTTAAAACGAAAATAAATACAAACTTTTTTGTATTCCTGGAATGGTAAAACGTACCTACTCAATTCACTCAAAAATATACATTGCTAATGTTTTGACAAAGCGTTTATGTAATTTTTTTTTTATTTATTTTATTATTTAATATCATATCAATATTATTATTTTTATTCTAAACCTTTTTTTTTTTTTAATATTTACTCTCCATTTTAAAATATGATCCATTATTTATATTATGTAATACCAGAAGTGTTCCCATAGGGTTAAGAGTATACTACATTACTACATATACACCGTATATTCTCAAGGTTTTTTTCATTATTATGGGTATACTGCGTAATCTCTCAATCTTAATCGATATTATACCATTTTATCGATCTGATCCGATCCATATCATGTGATAAATATCTATGATAAGTACTTTATAATCTACTTTAAAAAAATGTCCATATTATTGACACGCTCTTTACCAGCTTTATTCCTATAATCCAAAAGCAAAATAAATATACTTATTATATTAAATGTTTATATTTGATGAAATAGTTTATTCTCAAAAAGCTTAATAGGGATATTTCTATGTATAACTTCATTATTTTGAAAAGTTGTATTTATTTTTGCAATATAACGCTTATTTTTAATTCATATTCCAAAGCAAAATGTTTTTTGAAATGTTTCTATAATTTCGAATCAGTAGCTTAATAACTATAAATAATTAACTTCTAGTTATAATTTATGAATTAAATTTTCATGCATCGAAATTTAAAAAAAAAAATATCTGCTTTAATTTATAAAATTAAATATATAAATTATCATTCAAAATAAAATCATACTTTTCAAAAAAGAATAACGCTTAAAATTTGTAAAAGTTATAATATTTTATAAAAATGTTATATTGCAATGACAAACAATTACGTACAAATAGTATTCAAATAAAAAATTAAAACTTTGAAATAAAGAGTGTAGAGACTTAAAAAGAGATCGCCTTGATAAAATTTTCATTTCTCACATTTTATAAGATGTTATGTATTTTAATAATATTAATTATGACGTAATAGTTACAAATGACACGTTTTTCATGTAATTGTGCATTTTATTTTAAATAATAAATATCGACATAGAATTATAAGTACTTAATATATTTCCATTTTTATCAATAAAAATAAATAAAGAACACCTGAATATTTAAGTGAAAGTTCAATACGATTATATAGTACGAGAATCCGTATAAAACCAATCACAAGTAATGAATCCAACATCATTTTTGATAATTATATCTAAGGATTGGTATACTTTTATGATTTCTTTTCAGTATAATCTATACATACATATTGTTAAAACAAAAAATGCAATACAATCAATGAGTTAAATAACATGAAAAACTACCCTTAATGTTTTCAAAATAATAATTTTAGTTTCTGAAATATTTTAATAATAGTTTCAATGAGGTTCCGATTCAAATATTTTTTTAGAGATTTTTAATTCTAGAATAGATTATTTGTGGTATTTTTCTAAAACTACTCATTCATACCATATTATGAATTGGTATTTGGGATTTGGTTTTAGTGTATTATTAGAACTCAATCGTGTTTTTCGTGGTTTTATGTAAAGTATGATTCGTTTTATTTATGATATTTTTCAATGAATCACCCAAATTCAATCTCAACTATAAACTGTCTATAAAAAAAAAGTTTTATATTTGTTTGTTAAAGTGTGTTTTTTAAATGATTATACTTCAATATAATTTATAGTTCTAAAATGTATAAACACACCATCAGTTGTGATAAGGTATATTATACCTTATTGCAATCTTCATTCTATACTTTTCTTTTATTTGTTAAAATAATATTATTTTTTATTCAAATCAAATATATTTTAGTTTAGAAATACTTACCTACAGAAAAATTCAAAATACCTACTACCAATATATGACATAAATAACTTTTTCTATTTTCAGTTTATAAATTTACGACTTGTGGATCAAAAGGTAGATTGGGCCCAAGTAATCGATCTTGTGAAGCTGCATATACAAATACAACTGTATCTGTGGTAGTGGTTAATGACACATACATGGATGGAGTACAAATTTGGCTTGTACCTGAGACAGGAGTGTATACGTAAGTACTTTAAGTATTCAATACAATTTAAAAATGGTTTCTTCAAACACAATTTGTATGATATATCATATACAAAAAAAAAAGGACTTAATTAGAATGAACTAAAACTTTTTTTTCCAAAAGTTTTATAATTATCTACTACATTGAATTTTTTTTTAAATACTTTTTATTTTTTAATTATAAAAATGAATGCAAATAATAACCTAAATCGTTATCAAATGTTCATATACAGTTAGTTATCATATTTATAACAACCTAAAAATATTTTTTTATAGAAAAACAAAACATAAATAATATTGTTATCAATTAAAAATAATTATTTATAAATTAATAATTATTAAATAAAAATAAAAACATGATGAGATCTTATTCAAATTTTAAACTCCTTAGAACTTATTAATGGTTACAAAATATAAAATGTATTTAAATCAACCATAAACATTGTTTAATGATATTATTTAACAAATTTTGAATACAAAACATAAAAAAGTTGTATATATAGTATGTATATTGTAATAAAAGAATAAAAAATAAAATAAATCTAATGTAATCTAAGACGAAAATATACGAACAACGGAACAATGCTATAAAATTTATTGCTAACAATAATGAACAATAACTACTACTCAACTATGGTTGACTTTTCGCATACACCGTACATTTATTTTGTGGTACCTGCCTATTACTGCTGTAGATATGTTTGTAAAAAAGACAATCAGTGTAAGAGCTATCTCGATTTTATTTAATCCGCAGAAAATACTTTGCGTGCTTTACTTACCTACATATAATCTGTGTACGCTTGTATACTGTACAGTCTGATATTTCGTACTGATTTTGTTGATTTTGATTGACTATACTATACAATAACCATCACTTTAAATTGTGTTAACTTAAATAAATATGTAGAAACGTCTCACTATTCCCGGTAAAAAAATAAGTAAAATATCCTAGCAGATAAAATGGATACCGGTAACACGACAATATCGCGTTGTCATACTTATCTCCTATCATCAAAAAATTTCGACTTGCATACCAAAAAAAATATTATTAACTTAAAATACTTATAAAACATTATTAACCGCGATTTTATATGCGGCGTTGACAGTCTATACAAAATAATATGAATTTAATACATATTACATTATAAAAAAAAGTTTTACTATACCTAAACATAATATTATGTACCTACTTAACCATTTTGTGTAACACCAATTTTAAACTTATTGTAATTACCACACTTATATATCATGTAAAAGGATACTCAAATGTGATGTCTTCGTGATTTTCGTGGAAATTAGGTACTTATTCAATAGTTTCGTTAGTTATAAATTAATAAACTATAACTCTAACCAAATTAAATTATAAAAAAAAATATGTCTATAATTGTGGAAGTCTCCAAGTCTAATTATAATAGTATAGTGAATTAATTTACAGTCTGTATTTGCTTGGAGGTTTTTTTCTAAAATTTAAATGTTTCATCTGAGTGTATTAGTATAATATATAAAATATAATGATAAATTAAAATAATGCTTATAAAATCATAACCAGTTTCCATATGCAAAAAACTACTTTTGAGAGAATGCGTAAAGTAATAATGTAACCTATCTCTGTAGTAAGTCCATTCATTCCAATAATAATATGTAATAATATATCAGCCTTTGCTGCACTGTGGTCGAATGGATTAAATAAAATGCGTCAGTTTACTATTTATGATGTGTATTTGATTCACTGACCACCCAACAAAGTGATAGTAAAATATTTTGAATCTGTTATCGTACATTTTTGTGTGTTTTAGTATAATAGCGAGAGGGGCTCGTGGCGGCAAGGGGGCCGACGGAATGGGTATTTCGAAAGGAGCTACAGCCATCGCGGTGGTTGAGCTGTCCAAACACCAACAGCTGCACATATTGGTCGGTCAAGAAGGCGGAGACGCGTGTCGGAAAGTAAGTGTGTTGGAAATCAAAATAACCTATGACCGCTGACAACAAATGGCAATAATAATAATAATAATAATAATAATACTCACTCGACACATAAAGTTCAATCCAAATGATTCGTCCGATTTCAAACAGTTATCTATATTTTAAGCTCTATAGCTCGTACATTAAATAAAATAATGATTTATCAAAGTCAATATCTATTAAGCGTTCTACGTGTCATGCCAAAGTCCGCTGACAACAATATCAAACTGTTAATAACCCATTATCGTTCCAATATAACCCCTGTAAGTGACTCGCCAATATCATAATGAGTTCGTTTATGGTTGATGGTAATGTCGATACATGTATATACGGTCGTTGTCATATTAAGACGTGAGTTTCTGTGACCTGATAAGCCAGGCGCAAAGCTTCGGATGAATCATTTTGGATGAGTCCTATTTATATTATAATATGTGCTTACATGTACAGACTGGGCCACCACGTCCACATATTTTTCTCATTCTACGCGACAAAAAAAAAAAAAGAATCTTTGAGGCTCGGAGACTCAACCTGTATGTAAAGGGTCATTCGTTTAAATATTTTTATCATGGTTAGACCAATGTTTACCTGATGCGTTTTTGAAATATCCCTATGGTTTTAATAAGGTTTAAAAATACATTTGGCGTATTTTAATGGAACTATCTATTAAACATCAGAATATTTTTTTTAACGTGTATCATGAAAATTGAATGAACGGTATTTTTCATTGATAAACATTTGGAGGAATCTAAACAAGTGGAGTAGTTAACGACAATATTAGCGGAATAATCCTTATCATTTTATCCGAGTTATATAAGTTTTAAACACTTATTAGTTATTAAAAAAAAAAAATCTTAATTTAGTGTTTGGTGGTATTTTTGTATATCAAAATTTTCAAGAAAAATATTCTAATTTTTACTATACAATTTAAAACATAGGCCACCATTTAAAAAAGAAAAAAAAACTAAAAATACATGGATCAAAACGTGTATGTATTCTTTATTTTCAATTAAAGTACTTTATTAAACTATCAATACGCATTATTAATTCTAAAAATACGAAAATTAACCAAGAATGTTAGCGTAGCTGGTTAAATAAATGACTCTGCTTAATAATATTTAACACATATACATTACTTTTATTATACTTCTACTTTATGGGTAGGTACTTTTACTAGACTTGTTCTAATTTTATCTCTTCAATTTGGAATATTTAGACGTTTGAAAAACGCGACGACGCATGCCAACAAGAACAATACTTCAGGACAGGGAGCGCTCTCAAAGAACTGCATGACTTGCGCTTGCTCAACGGCGGTGGAGGCGGTGGCGGCGGATCTTTTGTTTTTACAGTTAAGTGCCGATTTCTCGTGGGACACGGACCCGAAACCAACGTTCTACAACAAACTTTCCGCACACGCTATTGTTCTGCGTGACCCTGGGCGACGCATACTTTTACAAGAATAAATTACGCACAATGTTGCAACCGTAAAATGTCCAAAGATATTTAATATTTCATGACGAAATCACGTTAATCCGTCGGTTCAAAATATATATATACACACACAAACGAATAACTCTACGATAATAACGGAAGAATCAACTATTATATTGCCACTAAATATATCCATGATAAAGTATAAAATAACTAGGAAACAATCTTATTACATTATTTGAAAAATATATAAACGCTACATATTCGAGTAATTGTTTATATAATATAATATTATATATAGATTGATCGATCAAAAATATATTATAATGTAATTTCGATAAAAATAAAAGATAAACGTTATTATACATTTAACAAACAATTTAATAATGAATAAACAATGATTGTAACGAATTTTTGTGTTAGTTAGTTCATGTGGTTTATTATTTGTCAACTTAATTCTATATTTGTATTCATAGATGATATTCAGTAAGTAACTAAAATTAATTTAAAAAAATCCCTATTTCATAGGAATTCACTGAAACCACTGTGTATATAATTTTCCATAAAATGTTTTAATTTACGTTATTATTTGAAATACAAAACTGAAATTGTTTAATATTTAGTACACTACAAATTTACACAACAATAATTAAAAACATGTTTGCATAGAGATTATTTTAATGGACACTCATCATTTTGGATTTTTTTCTCTTTTTGTTGACAATTCATGATAAACGCATATTTATTCACCTTTTTTCTGGCGGAAACTACTCTCAACTTTTATTTTTAAATAACAATACCTTTTTCAGAACGTTGAGCAGAATACTTATTTTATTCAATACATAGGTAAATATCAAATGCAGAACGATTTTTTGTTTGTTTTATTTATAAGCACTTAGACCTTAAGTAATAACAATTCACAAGTATACTGTTTTGCACATCTGAACATAAAATGTATACTAGTTAATAATAAAAATAATACAATTCGTTCATTATTTGAATAATAATTTGAAAAAAAATAATATTCTTTTAAGAGACGAGACAATGAAATTAAAAATAAAAGATTATACTGATTTCCTCATTAAACATAAGTATAATAATAATGGCTGAATAAAATGTTAAAACTGAGTGTATCTTAAATTATTATTGAAATCGATAATTTTTAAATAAACTTTTTGCGAAGTAAATTATCAATATTAATAACTACAATGTATAATACGATTCAATAACACTCAAAATGTATTTTATCATGCATACATAAATATGGTTCCGTCTTGGTTATTGATCTACGTCTACACAATAAAAAAAACAAAAAAACACTATTTAAATAATGTACATAGCTTTTATAGTCATACAAATGTTTCATAATGAGAAATTTATTCCATTTTTTATTACTTATTACATGTTTGAATAAAACATCAAAAAATACTCAGATATTTCAGATGCATGTAATAATATTTTTTAAATGATTTGAAATTAAAGGGCTCACGAGAAGAAGGATACTTACCGTTGGTGATTGGTGCTGGCGGAGGTGGTTTGGCACACGGACCATTTAAAGACGACAGGAGTCAACACGGTAATGGTACCAACATGAGATTACCAGCAATCACTGCACCATCGTTTGGTGAAAATCCTGCAGGTTTGTGTTAAAGAATAATTTTTTTTTAGCACTGAATGTATGTATTGATTTTTCAATGATGCGATTTTTTTCAGACAACACATTTTGTTGGTCAGTTAGTTTTTAAAATAAAAACTTTTGTGTTACACTTCATTAAATTTGAAACTTAAGACAATAGTAACATTGGTTACTCAATAACTTTTTTTTAAAAGGTCATATTCTGAATTTATTAACAACAAATGTTTATAGACAAAATCAGAAAAAAAAGAAAAAAATGCGTTTAAAATCGCTTTTTTTAGATTACGCGATAGAAAATAAAATAAATTTAATTAGTCAACTTATATAATTAAAGCCGTTTATGGTACAGCATGTTAATGAAAAGTATTTTATTAAAAAAAATAACTCTAATCTGTTATGATATTGCTAGAATGTAATTTTGTGATTGGTAAAAAGGAATCGTCGATTTGAAAAAAATTTACCCAATCAAGTAAACTTGACGAAATTGGTTGACGAGATTGATTTTGAAATGTTTTTGTGTATATATTTAATTCCATTTTCACAGTATTTGTTTGACGGGGAGAAGGAATCTCAACTAGTTTCCCAGTCTTCTGTAGTGACATATACATAATTATATATTTTTTTTTTTTATTTATTTATCTATTTTAAATATTTGAACCTAACCTAATCGGAAAAAAACCAAATAAATTCTGTTATAGAACAAACCAATAAACAACATTATATTTTATGTAGCACGTGATTATCGTACCATGTTGTGTTTTAGTTCAAGTTTAATACAACTCAAAATTATAATGTTACAATTTAGTGGCTTGAAACTGAATATAATTACACACTTGTGTTTTTCATATTTTTTTCTCTAAAAGAACCTTATTTTTTGAATGACTCATTTGTGCTGTATCTTCATAGTTGAACTTTTCGCTATTTTTTTAATTTCTTTGAAATGTGTTAGGATGGTTGAGGTTTTTGATGTAGTATTCACAAAAAACTAAACACATTTTGTGTATAATTAAAATACCTACTAAAAGCATATTTATTTTTACTATAACAACGATAAAATCATAAAAACAAACAGATTCCGGCATATGCTTATTGATTGGAAATTCTTTAAAAAATAAATATTACGTTAAACTAGACTTTCTATTTTATTATCAAACCATTACCTAATAATAAATTATATAAAATGTGTACAGTCACGGCATACTTGAACATCAGGCTATAATGGTAGTAATTTATTATAAATTAGTTCATATTTTTTTATATTATTATGCTGGTAACTTTTATAGCTATATAATTGAAGTATAAAACACGTTCATAAAATATATATTATATAGTATTAAAAGTTAAATAAACTGAAATACATTGGAATACAATACAAATTAAACTTGTTCAGCAATAACTGCAGTAGGTGTTTTTATTGTATTTTGGTGACCTAATTGTTCTAATTGAATAAAGGTGACGGTCGTGTAATATTTAACAAACTTTTATTACGTTTCAGTGATTAAAGGATCAAAAAAAAAAATTATTAACCTAACTCACTGGTACAACTTTATTAATTTCAAAACATTTATAACATGTATTTTAATTTCTTTTCATAATCATTCATTAGGTCACTGATTCTAAGAATAGAGGTAATATGAATTTATTAACATTATATAATAACATTTAATTACGGCAAAAACTACGTTTTAAATGCATTATCTACAACACGTGTTTAATGTCATGTTAATAATAAAATATCACTTAACATACCGTAACTTTTGTAGGAAAAAAATATGATAAAAAAATTATCATTTATTTTTTTAACCAGTACGTTTGATTCAGTAAGTGAAATAGTAATTAATGAAGTGGTTTGGTTTAGATTTAAAATCGGACGCCCAAGTTTGTTTTGGACAAAATAAAAGTAAAACTGTTAAATGAATAAAAAATAAACAAAACTTAATTTTCTCAAAACATCGTAAAACAATAGTATCAATCATCATAAAAATTATAACCATTATAAAAAAAAATAATTTAGGAATTCAAAATCGTAGGTAAATATTATCTTACTTCTGTTTTGTTAGAGGAAAAATTTAGTTTATCAGTTGGTACTAAAGTCACCCTTATACTTGAATAGGACATACGCACCGATGACCGTTTTATTTGTTTAATTTACATATATGCACACACCCACTTGCATTTATATATCGAAAATATTAAACTTACAAACAGAAAATAGTCAAGTAAGGTGACCTCAACCTATACATCTTTATTAAGACTTAAAACATGACGACACAGCTAAGAATTGAACTCATAACTGATCCATACATTAATGTTCAAAAACTGTTTTTAAATATTTCGGTACGTATTACCCAGTTTACTTACGTTGTTACTTATGGAATTTCACTGTATATACTTACATGTTGTTATGCCCGAAAATATTTTAAGAAATCATGATTTAAATTAAGAGATTTATGTATGTATTTTTATTTAAATCTATATTTATATCATTATATTTTGAAACAAGAAAAAAAATAATTTGATCTTAAATGTTGAGGGGTGATTCTTGTTTTAAATTAAATTCAAATGATACTCCGAAGGTTTAAAATTATAAAAAAGTACTTTTAAAATAATTAGGAAACACAAAATAACAGTGTAAAAATATTGGAATATTTACACAACGTCATAATTTGGCAAATTTGATTTTTTTTTTTAATTGTATAGACATTTACTATTGAATTCTAGTTTGAAACATTAAAATAACCACGCATATACTTGTAACATATTACATATCAGAGCAGGTTACCTGACTGTTTTCTATTAAAAAATGTATGCAAGAGAGATTAATTTATAATTATATTAGATAAATAACAAATTTTATACTTCGGGTCTTTAAATATTTTGTTTTGTACTATATGTATATTTGGAGGTAGAAACTTAGTAAAAAATCGAATTTTCTAAAAACAACATACACATTTTTTGTTTTGATTTCAAGTCTAATAGGTTTTTTACTATGATAAAAATAATAAAATACGTTTAAGTAAAATATTTAAGTTAAAAAAATGTTTATTTATCGAGATATATAAAATAGCCGCTATTACGTCAAAGAACTGATAAGTGTATAGTTGCACTATTACCTATGTCATTTTAAATACTAATTAATTAATTTACACAATGATTTAAATAACTTACAAGTATTTACAACAGTTATTTAGTATTTTTGTTCTATAATCTTTAATATTAATGCATAATTATAAACCTACATTCTACACATTTCATAAAAAATGTAATACCTATAGGTATTAGATATACAGAAAACATAATATTTTAAATTAAGTACTAAAATGTGGGCAAAATTTCATAATTGTACTCGTATTTTATAAGTTAACTTAAAATTCCAATCAAAAACAAAAGATAAAACGCATTGAAAGACGATTTTTGAATCACATAACTATAAAAGGTATTTCGAAATTAAAAAATTCCACTACGATTGTGATCATAAAAATTGCGAATAATAGTAAAATTAAATTTTATTTTATTTTATTTTATTATAACTCATTTTATAACAGTATTGTTATTAAATATTTATTTTAGATTTGTTGATTTATTTTATATTATTCGATAAAAACTATCTAAAATGCATTATGGAATTTATCAATTACTTTAACAAATAATTAATAATTTAAATAAAAGTTGCATTAAATATAAGTTATATTTATCAAAATTAAAAATGTAACAGTTTGAACAATGTCTTACCGTTTTATAATTTTTAAACACATTGTTAAAAATAAAATATTTATTTTATCTAACGATATTAATTGATGTTATAATTAATTATATAGGTCAAAACAAAAAGGCGTTATACACACGAAATAAAAAAGATGTATAAAAGGACTTTAGGGTTTATATTGTTGTTATCAATGCAGATTAAGTACTACGAGTCATATAAATATTTTGAATAATGAGGACTTGATGATTACGTGTCTATTTAATAATATTGAATCCTTAAATTTTACAACATTTATTCTAAAAATATAAAAATAGGATTATTAGTGCAAAAATGCTTTATGTACAAATAAACTAAACTACATTTTAAATAAAAACGAAAATATTTAAAAATTGAATTTTTGAATGATGTCACTTGCCTGAGTACTTCTGTTTATACATTTTTATATATAGAGGTTTAAATAAATTTTTGGAAAACTTATGAAAAATATTGCAAATAAAAATATTTGATTCTCGTTTTAATTGATTATATTTTATTAAATTAATATATTTGGTATTATTTTAATATGATAACACACTACTGAAAAATCAATAATATCATTATCTTGCTACATATTACCTCGGTTGTAGATAATTTTGCATCTTTTATTAACATAACTAATAAAATCTTTAAAAAACTAAGATAGGTAACTATTTAAATTTAAGAACAATGAACAATTAATATACTACACACGTTGTATTTCTACAGTTCATAAATAATTTTAATTTCGAAAAAGTTAATTAATTTAATTAATAATTTTAAAGTTATAAGTTATTGATATGATAATAGTAGATTCGTAATTATGGCAAAAACAAATATTAATAACAGTATTCGATTAAAAGCGTGACAAAAAATCAAGTTTATTTTATTAGTCTCTGAATTCTGAATGAATTTGTACATGAAATAATTTATCATAGAGTTTTTGAAGCAAACCATTTATTGAAAAATGTTAGATGTTTGTTCGATTTATTTCATACTATGATCATCTATTTAAAAAAATATAGCTAACATATCTTATACGTTTAGTCAATGACAAAATTCTTGTGATAACTACGTAGATATATGATAAGTTTATACTGTTTTGCTCGTTTTGGTATAGTAATGTTTATTTAATATAATCGTTTTATCTACTCAATCATTTAATTATAGTATAGTAATTACATTTCGGGAACATGAAACGAACGGATTGTTTGTATTCCATTTTCCAAGTAAACTTGATATCGTGTAGCCGTAGTACCTAGACGGCCCGACGGTTAGAGCTGACAACATTATATTTAAACATACGATTCATTGATCGATATTATTATCATTAATGTTCTACCTTAAATGCAATTTAGATTAGATCTTTGGTTCTTATAAATTATGTTATATACTTGATGTTTAAATCAGTTAATAATACAATGATGTAATAAATTATGACTTAAATATTCATTGTAAGTAAGTAAAACAATTTAATAATATCATCCACTATTTCATAAAAATTTTATCATCTTTAACTTTCAAACTTGATCTTAATAATAATATTGATTGTGCAATATTTTGAACGAAATTATATTATTATGGCACTAATTATTCTTAACCAGAGTTTAAGCGTGTGAAACAGTAAGTATAATTAAACCAACGACATGCATAACATACTGCAACATATAAAATATAAGATATATTATTATCATTAAAATTTTTTTTCTGGATATTTTGTTATATTTCGTATTTACGTATGCACTATAGCATTAATAATTTCAATTTTATTTTGTTTTTGAATAGAGTATAAATAAAACGAAGTAATTATAATATGATTATACTAATTTTTATAATGCACAACGAATTGATTTGTATCAGTGACTCAACCAAGTGGTTAAATTGTTGTTGATCAAATTTCGTTCGATTTCGATATAGTTTTGTACTCAAATTACAATCAAATTATTTTACTTGTAGTTTTTTGAAATTTATTACACATAATATAAAAATCGTAAATCTATCTGACATGATTTTATCAATTCGTAAAATGTATAATATGTACTTTTTTATTGGCTCACTATGTAGTATGTACCAATGAGTAAAAATTTTGAATTTCAAACTTCAATAAAATAAGTAATTATTTACTATCCTTAAATACACTAACAATTGGTACAATAGAAGATTTCTTCTTTAAAATAATAAAATATAATGATATAATTATGAGATTGTGTATAATGTAATAAATGTAGGTACGTATGTATTTAATTTTCCATATTATTTTGAAATTTTCGTTACTCATATAGGATTTTTCTCTTATATTTTATAATTAAAAATAAAAACGTAGGTATTATAATGTTTGGTGAATGTAAATATATTTTGCACCATACTTACTGCAATTATTCATTCTCTTTTTGGCTATATTTAAGTCTATTAACTAAATATTAAATAAGATTAAATGCTAATGAAATATATAGTTGATGTTTTTGTTTTCAACTTAAACAGAGTTCTGATTGTCACGTTTTGATAGAAATATTGACTAAACAACTAAACTATAAACTATTATAATAAAGTATAAAAAAATAGAAATAAAGTTTATATATGTAATACTAAAATAATATATGCTTATAAGTAAGGCTCGGAACTTGATGATCTAAAAATTTTTAAAAAATATCTACAAATGAAGTATTAAAATGACTTATAAACATCAAATAATGACTCAAAAAAATATCCATAAAATAAGATAACATTTTCAAAAATTCCGTTTTTTAATAATAAATCCTCAGAAATCATCGTTTTTTTTTTTTTTTTTAATTGTATTAATTTGAATTTAAACAATGCTAAAATGTTTATACTTTTAATATGTTTTTTTTTTTTTTTTACAGCCTACAAGTTCTAAATTAAATTTAAAATGAAGATAAAAAATAATTACAAAAGAGAAATCGGTATTTTAAAAATAATAATTGATGAATTGAGCTGTACAATACGTTAGTTTTTCAAATATTTATTTTAGTCAAAATAATATAAAAGAAAAATGTAAAAAATGTAAATATATCTACAAAAATACAAGAAATGTATCAAAATAAGTAAAATATGACCGTATAACCAAAAATTATCAAAAAAATACAAAAAAATGCAAAATAAAAATGGTTTCATTAAAGTTTGTATAACATAAATCACATTTCTGTAAAGAAAAACCTCGTATAACGCATTAGAAAAAAAAATGCATCAATTCAGGGTCCTACTTATGAGTAATACAATATAAAATAATATAATTAACGACAGATTTTGAGGCATGCTAATCGTTATTTAAAAATAATTAAATCGATATAATAATTATATTTAATTGTGTTAACAGTGTATAAAACTCATTCACAGTGTTAAACAAATATTTATAAACATTTAAAGTTGATAGGTATAAATGGAAGAATGCACCAAACAATTTGTAAGATTTCCTAACCATTGAAGAATGCTCTAATATTTAAAGGATTTTTTTTTAACATTTAAAACAAATACATTAAAATGATTAAAACTTGAAATCAAAGCTATGGATTTTGATTGAAAACGATTAAAACACTTTAAAAATAATGCATAATATTAAAAACTTAAAAGAATTTCTTTTTTCCAAAACATCAAAAGTTATAGGAAAACACTATTTTTATTTCATAGTTTTTTTGTTTAAAACAAGTATAATAATATGGTCTATTAAAATATGATTTTTTTTTCTATACTCCCTAAAACCTGCTCAATTAACTTGTTACATTTTTATACGCGTTATATTCTCCATTGTCCACACACCAAGTACAATTATTTTTTGTCACACGTATTGAACCTCATATAACGTACTTATATGTATTTTTTTTTTTTTTTGAGTGATTTATTTATTTGTTTAACAGGTGCTGGCGGTGGCTGGGCTCCGGGAAACTATACGGAAGACAAAAAATCCACAGGCTCGGCGTTATTGGGGACTGGAGGTTTCGGAAGCGATGGTGGTGGCGTTGGCGGCCTGGCGTGCTACAAGAGCCGAGGCAACACCAAAGGATTTGGCGGGTTCGGCGGCGGTGGTGGTGGATGCGTTGCCGGTGGGGGAGGTGGCGGTTTCACCGGTAAGACAATATTGACATTGATGTAGTCGGAGATAAACACCAATTCTCGATAAAACCTAAAATGGCCGGATGCAGTGCCATTACGGTTAATTCATTTTAATGGACGATTTTTATTTTGTCCACATTATTAATGATTTTGTTTAGAAATTAATTCTACAACTGAAAAACAATACACGTTCCTTAATGTCTCAAAATGGTGATAAGATATAATAACTTATTGCTAATCACCAGTATGGCACAATATATTGATATTTATAACTCGAATAATAACTTATAATATTGTGTTGTATATCGAGTGGTTGTGTAATTTTGGTTCACTGCAAACAATAGTTATGTCCATCGATAGCTACTAACGATAGCGTTAATATATTTTATTTTTATCGTCGATAAAAATGATTACATAATATTAAGATTATTATTATATTATTGCCCTATCATTGGGAATGTCTTAGTTTATCGATTCGGTCACGCAATGGCAGATTTATTATAAAATAAATCTAATTTTACTTTTAGGACAAACACTGGTAATAACATATTTTAGTCGATAAACAATATAATGTAATAAAATTATATTTCACTGCATATACGATAGTATCATCTTTTATATCTAAAATTTACTAACACTGCAGAGTGCGATTGGTACAAACAATGCGTAATGGTCGTAATATTATATAATGAAACTCATAAAGCATAATTGTTGGCGAAATGGCAACAGACAACGGTCTGCCGGCCAACACCGCAGCCTATATTGTCATGGGAAAAGATCGAATGTGAACATTCGCCGAGTAGCATAGTAAATAAATGTAAAAAAATAAAAAAAGGTCATTTCCAACTCGGCAACCACACGTTTCAAAGTAACGGCAAAATAATAAATCAGCTCCACCGCAATAAAATAAGATCGGAAATGTATGTGCGACAACGGGCGTCGTCGAAAACGGGATATGTATTTATTATTTCTATTGCGTTCGAATCAGTTCTGTCAAAAATACTACAAATAATTTATTATGATCTTATGCAATTTCCTATGAATTGTATAGTTGTTGTGTTGTAATGGGATGTTACTATAACAACCGACCGACGAATCAGTTAATCTGTCTTGATTTATGACCGCCAATAAACGCGCCGAGTGTACATTATGATGGGAAAATAATTGTACTTGTAATAATTATTAATCACCAACATAATGTAAGAATATTTTAACAAGTGTAAATCACGGAGATTTTCGTACAATAATATTATTATGAGTTAAAACAATCAAAATATATAGCTAAACAAATTCATAATGTTGTATTTCTGATGGTATTATAAAACTGTAAGAATGGAAAGTTCGCTTACTACAGATAGATTTAACCCAACGGGTTTTACATACCTCGAAAAATGATTCTAAAGAAACAAGATTTTAAAAGTATTGAAATGCGTTCTTTTTTTTAACTTTAATTTTAGAAGAAAAAAAACAAAAAATCTATTGTAGGTACTCCTTAGTATTGTTTATTAAATCGTAATAAATGGTTTGATTTGCGAACATTAGTATTTATTCTTTAAAACGTATTATCTATTTGATAAACAATTTGATTGCAAAATTTTAGTCTTTTATGTACACTCTTAATTTTATTTGATAGTGTATATCATAGATATAATAATATATATAGGTACCAAATTATAACTTAATGACCCAATATAAATTTAATTTAAACTAATACAAAATATCAATAACTGTAAATATTAATTAAATTACAATAAACTAATATCAAAGGATTAAACGATAATTTTTTTTAAAATGATTTTCTTTGATTTCTTCGCTTTTTTCCCCTAACTTTAATAAAATAAACTTTTTTTGAATAATATAAAAATTATACATTTTTTTCATTCTTTTTTGTGAAACATTAACTATAGGTACTTATATATTATATACTACATATGTTGTCAAAGTGGTAATTTTTTTAGATTTCTGAAGTTTGACGGTACTGTATACAAAACTTTTTCGTTTTATTTATGTAATAATTTACAGTATCCATAACTGTAACAAATATTAATTAATGTCGTGCTTATTTACTGTAGAAATTCTTGATTATATTCAACAGTCAAATAAATAATTATGAGTTAAAATAATATATTATGTTTAATACTATAAATTGATATTAGTTTTTTTTTTTGTTTTTTGATCAATTATTAAAAATACCATTATGTGTTTTTTTTGTATTATATAGCGTACACTCAGAGGTTATTTTAAAAACTTTTTTTTTTTAACGATTTAATAGTAGGTTATACGAAGTATTTACATATTCAAAATATTCTTTTTAATAGGTATATATATATTTTTTTTTAATAAATACAAATAGAAAACAGTTATTTAAGATTAGTAATAATCTATTAATAGACTTAAGTTATCTACAAAATGATAAAATCATGCTTGATTTACTCAAAGGAACCATAAAACGGTTTTGAGAAATAAAACTATAATTTTTGATTTTTTGAATCGAAATAGGATTTAGATTTTTTTCTATTTTATTTATAGTCAGGTTAAAGTAGGTTAAGTTACGTCTTTTTTTCAGTACTTACCATAAGGATTGCATTATTGTGTTATGATAAATTACTATTCGGATTTTACCGATTTGACGTTACTGTTATTACTACAACACAAGTGTATATTAATTATAGTTTTGTGCACCAATAACTTATCAGCTTTTTTTTTACGGCTATATAATATTAATTTATATTAAATCCGACGGATTCAGGTGGCCGTGCTTGGAGCAACAGTCAGACGAATGGCGAGGGTGGTTGGTCATATTTACCGGACAACCAGCACGTGTTCTATAGAGCCGTGTACCCAGGTAGCAACTATAAGTCCGGAAGCGTGTACATCATACCAGCCATCGTGGGTTGTGGGTGCGCGTACCTGTGTGCCGCTACCAATCAACTGCGCAGTTCAGTCGTCTGCATATGCCCACCCGACTTCAAACTCGGGCCCGATGGAAAGTCATGCATATGTGAGTATGTCTTAATACGTAAAGCAAACTACCAATGACGACCTGCACACAAGTAGTACGATTACTTAACGAAAATCTGACAATGTGAAGGTAAATAAAATTGTTCAACACGTGGCCTAAAATCGATATTTAAATACGACCTCATCGTATTATCGATTAACCAATGCGTTTTCAGAACGCTATGCAAAAATCAGGGTCATAAAAATTCAAAAGTGTTTATATTTAACACTTATGTTATTATAGTGACCTATATTTTAAATACGTAAAATGTATATCATACAAGATACTCATTAAGACACTTTTTTTTTCGCATCTTTCAGACTTTTTTAACATTTATTACATTCCTTTTTTTATAGACTATTTATTAATTAGTATCCATTTTAATATTATCAAAGTATCAAAAGTTCTAATTCTTTAAAATGTTTACCCAAGAAAAAACATATATATTTGTTAATACTTCTTAAATATTATTATTATTATTATTATTATTATTATGTCTAAAAAATAAAAATAAAATTGAACATACTTGTTAAGATTGAACTTAATTATTTATAATGGACGTCGTTTTGATTGATCGACAGGAGTGAAGTGATATTATACTTATGTTGTTTACGACCCTTAATGGACATCGTAAATTTAGATTTTTATTATTGTTTCAACAATACTTAAAGTATAAAAACATGGAAATTATACGATCGAAAGCAAAAGAAGTATTTACGTGTACCTATCTATAAAAATGAATAACATAATTATTAAAAAATATTCAATTTTATTTTTATTTTTTTCAATTAACTGTATAATCTATGAGCATTGATTTTTTTACGTTAAATTTTATGCACTATTAATATGAATATTAAATAACTAGGTTCAATCGTTAATAAAGGTATAATTAGTGGGCAAATAATTTAAAATAATGACCAATGGTCAGGTGTAGAAAAAATACCTTTAATTCACATTATCAGGATCCTTTTACTACATACGTATATCTTATAGGTACTGATATCGTATAAGATGAAGGTGCCATTTTTTTTTCAGTATGATAACTCATATAAAACAAACGGTACCTATCACTTTAATTATGTGTTTAAAATGAATATTAATTTATTAATATATATTTTAAAGTGCTAAGTGTGTTAAATATTTAGAATGTAGAAAATGCTTATCAAAAATTTGAATTTGTAGCATGATTATATTATTATTATAAACGTAGGTATGCTTAATAAATTTTATAAATATTATCATCAAACAAAAATAATATTGTTATTAATTTGGACTACGCAGTAATAATAAAATAGTAATTGGAAATATATAATTAATAAAAATATTCTGTATGTATGATTAAAATATTTAGATAGGTTTAATTAAAATGTTTTGAATAAATGTTTATATTTAATATTTAATCGAAATAACTAATCATAAACAAATCAACAAATACTCATGTTTGAATAGTTAATTCAGTTGTATGTTTAGTTTATGTTGGCTGATATTACATGGATAACTGAATAGTACAAGGCATTTTAGTTCACAGGCTCTGAAGGATTATAAAAGTTTATAACCTATGTTTAACGGTATTAATTCTGATTTTAATAGTTTTTAACATAAACAAATTTCAATGAAATTTTGTGTTGCATAAAATTGAATTAAAGCAATTTAATTATTTTTTTTTTTTTAGATTAAGAATTTAGATGTGAATGAGATTTAAAAATAGTTTAATAATAACTAAAATATCAATTTTTAGTATTTCCTGTACAGTTATATAAAATGTGTATATTAAACTAAAAAATTTAAACCAAATTAAGTAGGTACTCTAAATATTTAGTTTCATCACTGTACATAATTTTAGAGATTGCCTATATAAGATTTAATGTTACTTAAACATCATAATTTTCATAGTAATTGATTATGAAGTGGTTATTAAGTCAAATTTAAACTATGAAAAAAAAAAATAAATACTATTTTTTTGTAAAACTGAAAAGTCAATATTGAAACACAAAAATGTTATTTTAAATAGATAAGCAATATTTGTGGCGCTCTCTAACTGAGATGTTTTAAAACAGTTTTAGTATAACGCCAGTACTTTATCAACAGATCGATGCAGATATAACAAATTATTGTGTACAAAAATTATTTTTGTATAATATGATAATAATTTATTGATAATTATACAATATTTATGATTTAAATAAAATAATACATTTAAATAAAATAATAATAATAATAATAATATAGTAGTCCGATTGTATTAAATCCATATCAATACACTGTTTATAAATCTTTAGAATTTACTTATTGAAAAAGAAAATCATTTAGCAGTATAGTGTATATTATAATATATATATATACGAGTATATGTCGTAGACACTTCGTGAAATTAATTTTTTTATGAAATAGGAACAGATTTTTTTACTTCGTGGAATTTAAAAATATTTTACGAAATGGTCACTTTTTATGAAATAGTGATTCGAATTTAGCATCCTGTAATTTTTTCACAATGTGGTTGTTCACGTTGTGTACTGAAATACAACATTTAACTATAACTATATATATGTGCCCAGCTTTACGTTCTTCATGTATTGTCTTATTTGTTTTACACAAATTACAAACATCTTCCATGGATTCGTTTTTGCACATTTTGCAGTATTTAATAAGAATATCTCGTTTTAAGTTTTTCTCTTCGTATACTGGCTGTAAATTTCTTTGAGATCCTCTTCAGCTGTTAATTTTTAATAAAATCTAATGGTAGATTTGATGTGGATAATCCAATTTTAGAATCACAACCATAAAATTTAGATGGGTAGAACAAGTTATAGAAGTTATAATTATGTCCTTAATAAATACGAGTACTTTAAATAACTAATAATGAATCTAGTCAAATTTGATGTTTCCGTTAAATGTCGTATTTCAGTAGGCACAAAGTAAACGACCAAATTGTGAAAAAAATTACTCGATGATAAATTCGAATGATCATTTCGTGAAATATTTTCAAATTTCAGGAAGTGTAAAAATCTGTTTCCATTTCATGAAATGGTCATCTTTTCATAAAAATATTGATTTCACAAAGTGGCTACGACATATAATATATTTATATAATAATATATAGTTCTACTTTCTAGTACCACAGAATTAAATATTTATACTTAAGTAGAGAATTTGCCCTTTCTCTCACCAAGGCCATTGGATAACAAAACCATCCCTTCATCAACCATACAAATAAATGTTGTTTGAAAATGATTTTTACTATTTCTTTTACACTGGTAGGTTTTGTTATCTAAACTTGATGATAAATGATGAATAGATATTAATGAACATAAGTTATAAATATGTTATAACATTTGTATTATTTATTAATTATTAGTTTTGAAGTTAATAACTATAGCTTTGTAATAATAAAATATGAGAAAAATAGAATCATACAACTATAGTTATTGAGGTATATGATGATGAGTAGATAATAGGTTAACTATAGTTTTCGTTCGGGCTTTTTCGTTTAATTCTACGGTTTTGGAGAAGGTTCAGTATAATGTTAATATTGTACTCTTATTTATTTAATTTATTTTACTTTACATATTTTACTTCGTAGTATATTAATGTTATGTTTTATGTATGAAGTTCCGAGAAAGATTATTAGTTACCTGTTATTCTTAAGACTTCAGATTCATATAATTATATTTTATTAAATACATTTAGACAAATTTCTTAAATTATAAATTTAAATATTATAGAAAAAAAATTAAATTTGTTAATAACATTCAACTTCTATACTACTGAAAAAAGACATGAAGATATTATAATGAAATGTACATTTTTAATGATAAATTCCCTTACTATTCCCAACAAGAATTTAGTAATAATAATATTTAATTGTACGTATGAAAGAACACTTACAGGCGTGATGCATGAATATATTCGTTCCACTTGTAAATTTCATTAAAAATATGTTTTAGACCTACAATATTATTCAGTATTCGTAATTTTTTTGCCAGCACTATAATATTATAATGAACACACTTCAAAACTAAAAGTACAATTATATCTTAAATATTGAAGTTATGCGCGTGTAATGATGACGATCATTAAACAAATATACGATTATGAATTATGATTAATGATGTAGGAACATCAAAAAAATATGAATTCACACGTTATGTAGGTACAATATTAACAAACAAAAATTATTACTGAAATTAAATAAACGCATTTTTTTTTTTTTTTTTTTTTTGACATGACGTATATGTCTTATGGCTGGGGGTCATTCTGTTAATTTGTCCGACACCGAGAATGTTACCATGACGTCATTGGTGCGTTCACGTGTGCGTGTGTGTATGCGTCGACCAATAGGAACCGGTTTCTGAAATTCGCGATTATACGAACGTTATCGGAATCGCGGTGGTTTGTGGTGATCTATTATATTATAACATTATATATTATGTATAGGCGTATAGCCCGTTGTATAATAAATGTACTGACGATAAAAATAACTATTCTCAACGATTTATTTTTTTATTAACTATTTTATCGACACATCGAGAAGCTTGAAACTCGTGAGCCGTGAGTACGTTTCTTATTTCAGTAAACACCGTCCTTTATTATCCATCAATAAAAGTACCTATTGTAAACGACGATTCTGTAGTTTAAAAAATTAAAAATTTAAATAAAAATTTAGAAAAATGTATACTCATAAATAAATAATTGCTGTCTTTGAAACTTGTTTATTTTTTACACGGGTTAAAAAAGTTACCTACAGTTTAATCCTCGTCTCCTCGTATCTAATACCAAATTGACATTGACATTCTTATGTCAACTATATTCAGTAGAAACAAGACATACCTATACATGTATCAATGTATCTGTATGTAGTGTAGATATTTAATACAATTTTTTATTTATTATTATGAGTGTGTTACGTAAAAATGTCCTGTACCTACTACAATTTTTAAAATGCACCAAACAGTAGTTTTTAATATCTAGTCAGATACTGAGCATATTAACTGCTAAGAGTGTAGAAATAAGAAGCTATTATACATTTTATTATAGGATAGTTAAGTTGATTTTATAAACTCATAAAAACCTAGAATAATATTATCGTAATCAATCGGTTTTTGTAATACTATAACCGTAAAATTGTTTAAATTTCAGTTAGCATACACTAAAGATAGTTAACAAATTATTCTTTGGCAAAAAATATATACAATAGAATAATATATGATCGCATTATATTTTATAAGCATTATAACTTATTTAGGTTACGGTTAATTCATTTGCAGTCATTCAATATCGGTTTCGAGATATATTATAAAATGTTGGTTTTTTTTTTTTAAATTTAGAATAATTAAGTTTTTTTTTATTTTTTACAGATATTGTGGATATGCAAGGTCTAATTTTTTAATTTGAGTGCAAAATCGATTGATAAATATAATTTTTTGAATAATTTATAAACCGTTGTGTGCAACTGTGTTTGGTTAGGATATAATCATAATATTAATACGTCGTGTCTTATTTTGTTTTTTTTTGTTTTTGAGCTTAAATTTATTAATAAATTCAAAATGATTAAACTGAACACGTATAGATATTATACAAAAAAAAAAAAAAATAAAAATATTAAAAATACATTAGATTATGGGCATGGGTCGTCGCGATATATATTATGTGATTAACGTATATTCGTTTTTTTATAAGTTGTTGAATAATCGCATAAATAACGATAATAAACGATAATAGTATGAAGGGTTGAAGTAAAAAATCATAATGCAGAAACTTTTTCCGTGCCTACGCAAGTTTAATTTTGTTAGTTAAACTAATTTTCCCTAAATCAAAAGCATAGTTTATTAAGTATACTATATACACTATTTACACTTAGTAAATGTATTAAGGATTAATTTATACCAACATAATTAACACTCGAGACTTGACACTAAAGCGTGGTATCGAGGTGGAATTAATGGTGTAAATACAAACATCTTTAATTATTCTCGAAAATAATCTCGACAACAACAAATATTATGCTAATTTATATATATATATTATTGGAAAAAAAAATGACTGTTAGTAATTATAAACAACACAATAAACTATTATAGTTATGCATTTTTCTGACTTGATAAGTAACATAAAATAATATTGTTTGACAGATCAATCAACAGAAACGACAAAAATTATATTTTTGATCACTGGAAGTGTGTTTACAGTTGTAATTATCTGCTTGATTTTAGGCATTTGGATGTGTAAGTTAAATATGATCGAGTTTAATTACATTTTGCTAACATTTTGTACCTACGGTTTTAGATAGAAGTTATCGAAAACGAAAAGAGCGCAAAGAAAATGTCAATATACTACACAACGGCATTTTAAATTATGATATGACCTCCAGAAACAGAAATGGAAATGTTGATATAAACCCTACTTATGATTTCAATGGGAGGACTTTGACAACAAACGATCTTCCAAGAATTTCAAGAGATGAACTAAGAATACAAAAGTAAGTACAATTTATATTACTAAAATAATAGTGAATTATATTTTATAAGATAATAAAATAAATCAAATATTAATAGTCAACACGTTGATCTGTCTATACCTAGGCAAACAATATTGCTATAGCAATAATAATAAAAATTTATATCAGGCTCATTTTTTAATATCACTGCTATAGAAGTAGTATGAAAATCGTCCTCAAAATTACATTACTGCTATAGTAGTAATATTTTAAACGTTATCATATAAAAAAGGGAATTCTACTGACCCTATAGATTTCAAAACACTCGCGGGAACTAGAAAATATTGATAAATATAATACTTTTTATACTATTTATTTTATAGTTTGCACACATACACACACATACACACACATATATATATATATATATATATATTATATTTGTTTATGTTTTGTCGAAAATAAATATAATACCCAATTGTACCGGGTATTATATTATAGCATATCTGTCTTAGTATTATTTTGCTTTTTTTATGAATCACACTTGATAAATCATTGGAAATAAACGTTAGTGTCGTGTAGTACAACCGATGAGTGATATACGTTTTAAACAATTTTGCAAGGTGTGTCGTGTTGCCTTCTACTCTGCTTCGAAAAATACCATGATCAATTATCGTAAAAATTGTACTAAACATTTTAAATTATTTGTGTTTTTTTTTCATTTTAAGAAAAATATGAAAAGTTTTATCTTATTTTATATTTTTAGATATTCCACATGCAAAGAAGACAATGTTTAATTAATTGTATTAGATTTTTATTAGATCGAATCAATTTTGAAAGTGATTACTGCTATAGCAATAATAAATAAATGACAAATTTAAGTCGGGTTTTGAAAAATATTATTTTTTGTGGTGTCCTTAAATGTGTTAAGTCGGCTGATATGTGTATAATTATCTTTGTAATTATACTTGAAATTTAATTATTTTCATTTAATTTAAAAGTGAAAAAATATTATTCGTTGTCGTGTTAATTTCACTAATGAAGTTAAAATCGACGATTGAAGTAATCAATCTTATGTTTTATTTTTAGCTTTGGTCACAGTATACAAATATTTAATCAATTAATTATGGTAGTTGTCACACTATAATATATTATTTTAAGGGCCGTGTAACTTTGACTTAGCAATTTAACCGGTGTCGTGAATGAGGTTTCGTGATACCAAGTACTATAGTTGATAGGAACTTTTTACTTTGATTGTTAAACTGTAAAGTTTATAATGTATGTTACGTGTGATTTCTAGATCTATTGGCGAAGGAGCTTTTGGAGTGGTGTACCGAGGGTATTATAAAAAAACCGGTGAAACGACCGAAATGCGGGTTGCGATAAAGGTTAGTATATGTGCCAAAAAGCTTGCAGACATTGCCAATACGTGTGTTTGACCAGAATATATAATAACTTAATTTAACTCGTACACTACTGTATATGATTCGCGATTGGTATCGTTTCAGACTCTCCAACCTAAAAAAGACATGACCAATGTGGAGGTGAAATTCGACGACGACAACACACCTAATACCGAAATCGAAAGAGAAAAAATACAAAGGATTAAAAAGGCTGAATTGTCTTGCATACGTGACTTCTTGACAGAAGCCATTATAATGAGCCAGTTTGATCATCCAAACATTGTAAAATTCATCGGAATTACTTTCGAAAAAAACTATAGATTTATAGTGACAGAACTTTTGAGCGGTGGAGACTTGAAAGAATTTTTACGCAAAAATCGTCCTTCAGTTGTACGTATTTAAGTGACATGGTATAAAAATAATATCATAACGTCTAATAAATTATTGAATTATCATAAATTTAAAATTTTATGAGATAGAAATAATATAATGTACTGGTTTATCGTAAAATATACAACACAGTATTAAAGTATACATTGTAATGAAATATGATTTATGGGATTTAAAGGTTAAACATTTAAACATAATTTTAAACTCTCATCAATCTTATATTAATAATTATTTATTTTATAGTTGTTTCAGTATTGATTTAGTCATATTTATTACATTTTTAAATTACACTGAAAGAACATTTTTTTATAATTTCCAGCAACAAAATCAAAAAATCATTCCCATAAAGTTAAAAGATTTATTAAAGATAGCATTGGATATTGCCAAAGGATGCGTATACTTGGAAAATCTTCATTTTATCCACAGAGATATTGCTTCCAGAAATTGTTTATTGTCTACGACAGGACGCAATAGAGTTACGAAAATTGCTGACTTCGGGATGTCTAGAGATGTATACAGGTATGTTAACTATGAACTAATGTTTATTATATAATATTATCATGTACCTAAATATTTTTGATTTTTTTTTTTTAGAAACGAATATTACAGAAAAGACGGTCAAGCTATGTTGCCTATTAAATGGATGCCAACAGAGTCATTGGTTGACGGTGTTTTTAATTCAAAATCTGATGTCTGGTAAAACAATAACAATTTTTCAATGAAAAAAATAATATAATAATCAGATTAATATTAAATAAATAATTAAAAATTTAAGTATTTCAATTTACTAAAATAACCACAATGTTCTACTATAAAATATAATATATACCTAGTGTCCAATATTACGATTAACCTAATATACAAAACTTCTAGTTACAAGATGTCTGTTTCTTAATTCTTACTACGACTGTTTTTAAAATATATATAATAGATATACCCACCTATTTGTAATATAGGTAACATAATGAATCAAGTAAAATTTCAACTATAAACATATATGGTAATAATTAGTATTGTGTTATACTTAATTTAAATAGATTGATGTAATATTTATAATAAGTAGATAAGTAATTTCCAAATCAAAAAATTAAAAAATTAAAAATAATAATAATAACTATTTATAAAAAAAATATTCAAATTTTGAGTGATGATAGGCAAGTTTTTGAACACATTTACACCGCTCAATAACTCATGATAAAAATTTAATTATGTTTTATTAATTCTAATTATTAGAGTTACTTACTGGTTTTGTGTATTCCATAAAAATTTTACTATATATATATATATATATATATATCTAAATTCTACTCTTTTTTAGGTCTTTTGGAATTACATTTTGGGAAATCATGACATTTGGATCTATGCCATACACAGGTATGACAAACAAAGAGACAATGAATTATGTTATGAGAGGTGGGCGTTTATCTAGACCGGCAATTTGCCCAGAACCAGTATATAAGCTTATGGGCAGCTGCTGGAAAACAAATGCTGAAGAAAGGCCTTCTTTTGAGATTATACGCAATAAACTTCGTCTCTTTTTGCAAGTAAGTTGTATTTACATGATTGCAGTACATTATACGAGTTGTCTAATCTTAAATCTATATACAAGATAAAGCAATAACTTTTACAACCAGTGGTTATTTTAATAAAAAATGTCATTAATTATAATATGATCCAAAGATAATATACTTTTTATGATGATTGTGTGGTTATAAAATGTCCCTCATAAATAGTAATATTATGATCTATGTATAGCTACAGTCTGTATCCAGTCCATATTATTGGAAATATCAAGATTATAACTCATTAATAATCAATTAATATCATATTAATAATTATATTGTAATTTAGCGATAATAACCAAATAGAGTACATTATTTTGATACAATATTTACGTTAAATATGGTTAATTGGTAAATATTTTAATTCTTTTTTGTATTCTAAAATTAATCAATTTTTATAATTTATTTCACAAGTCAAAATATTTGTAACTGATATAGAAGAAATAACTATAGTTTTAAATAAATTGGTAAATATAAATTTTAGGTAATGCTGATAATAGTAAAAAATAATAAGAAATAAAATATATAAGTATTACATTTTAAAATTCAAACGCGTGTAAATAGGTAACAATGTAATTAATAATGGGATTTAACTTTTTAAAATGTGTAAAAAGACTAAATAACCCCCAGTTAAAATATTGTGCATAACATATTTTAAATTTTACGATATTACTTGTCTTTTTTCAGAGAAAAAAATTATCATAAATATAAGAATGGAAAAAAATTGATATTTTTTTTTTGTAAAAATGAATAACATATTTAAAAACATTTAGATTTAAAAATAACTATACTGTAAATGATTTCAATAATTTAGATAATGACTAATAGTTAACTAATCTAATCAAACTCCGTTTTAGTTTTTAAACAGAATATACCGTTTATGGCATGTCAGTGTTTAGCCACGATATACAAACTACATCTTTCTCTAACAACAGAAATGTAGAAACGGGCTAAAAAGACGAATGATTTTGTAAATATTGATACATGCAAACGTCCGACGACCAAATATACAGTTTGTCTGTATTTATAATCGTCTATCTATTATCGATTATTGAATTAGAATACATTAGTTCTTACTTTAATAGATACCTAAATAATTATAAATATGACGACCGTAAAAATATTTAAAACGACAGTTAGGTCGCTCAACGTTAATCAATAAAATTTATGTGAATTTACTTTTATTCATAAAATGTACCAAACTATCGACATCACTAATAATAATATGTGTGTGTGTGTGTGTGTGTTTGTTATCCGTTTGCTCAGGATCCACTCATAGTCGATTTTATACCACCGGCGATTGGCAGGCCCGCGGCACCGCTGCCGTACCGAGCGACGCACCCGCTGGACAAGGACGCACCGCCGGACGGTGTTCTTCGGGCACATGACGTTGTTTTGACTGGTCCTTGTATTGATCCACCGCGGAACCACGAACATCAGGAAGAACCTCAGTATGTAACGCCATTGCCGGCTGACGACTTTTTCGAGGGTGTGGACGCGGAGTTGATGAGGGACGCCGAGCGGTTTGGACGGTTCCAAAACAGGATGGAAATGTCACCGTCAGGTGACATAAGCGATTTCTCTGACGAAGATGAAGAAGAAAATGGTGACATCGACAGCGTCGGAGACGAAGAGGACGAAGACGAAGACGCGGTGATTAATCCGGATATCGACGACGAGGCTGACGATGACGACGACGACGATGATGACAACGACGATGAACAGAACGTGGAAGAGGAGGAAGACGACGACGCAAACGGCGCGGAGATTGTGCTGGACGCAGATCGTAATCGGTTCGACGAGGACGACGATGACGCGTACGGAGACATCAACGCCAGGAGCAATGGCCCGGTGTCATCGTATCATTGGAAGTGAGTAATTTAGGTCCTGTTGACCGATAGACTGCGTAAAGCGCAAAAACAATAATGTTCCTGTGAGATTTTATTTTACCAGTTAACGCGACGACGGCAAAAAAGATGATTAACTCTGATATGGGAGAAGGGTTGAGGTGTAGTGATTTACCATATTTATGTTTTCATACCTTCACGGTTCAGTTACCGTTACGATTAATATTGTGTTTGATTTTCCTCAAATAGTTTGACACGTTTATAATTTATGCATAATGTATATTAGAAAAAACTCAGTGTTCATGTTATATTGTTATGTACTTACAGGTATGTGTATTTTCAGCTGCTTAAAAGGATATGTATACTCGATCAATTGTTCGTAACTAAAAACAATAGTTGAATGTTTCTTTTTGTTGCACGTCATAATATATACAATAACAGTTAACATTTTAAATTGAAGTTCTATTAAGTTTTTACCGGTTGACATAATGATAAAAAAATATATATTTCCACGCGTCCGTTATGCCGTCGAAATAACTTTGAATGTCTTTTCGTAAATTAGAAAATATGGTGGTCATTAAATATATTATAACCATTACATCATCGCTATAAATTTAAAAGTGTTAAACATACGGATTAACATCGATCATTACTTAATAGATTTATGTATTGATATATTATGTACTTAAGTATGTGAGTTAATATAAAATTGATTTTTCTTTGATGTCTATCGGCTAGCAAATACTTATTACTTTTTAAAACTTTCATTTTTCGAGTTTTTTTTTTTTTTTTTTGAAAAATTACAAATTTATAGGTACTTAAGTTTTTTAATCTTAAAACTCTTAGCAAAATACTTTTTTTTTGCCCATAATTTTAGCAAAATATTATCATGCTGTATATTTTTATAAAATGTTTTGTTTTTTTTTTATAAGACGTAAAAGACCGCGGCAGCTCTGGCCATTGGTCTAAAATGTTTTTATAATCATTATTTATACACCTACCTATTATTAACTATTAAGTTTAATATCTATTCAAAAATATTAAATTGACAAACACGTATTATGCATTATTAATTTATTTTTATTTTTATTGCAGTAGGTTTAAAGAGACGAGTTTCATCAGCATGAAGGAACCCAACACCAAACAGACGAATGCAGATGGCCAAGTAAATTCGTCTAAAAGAAGAAAGTCGTTTTCCGAACTCGAAGACAACAGGCCCAATCCTTATTCATTAACAGGCCGCGTCCGATACAACGTAGCCAGTGACGGGAAAATAAGATGCTGACATCCGGACTCAAGGACTTCGGTTATCGAGTCCTTGGAAATGTTATAAAATGTCCTTATACAATGTTAATATTCTATTTTGATGTACGACTGTTGTAAATATTTTTTTTTCATTTTTAACTCACGTCATCTATCCATAATACAAATAAATGTTTTGTTTTAACAGTATACTATACACGACTAACCAAAAGAATAATAACCTCAAATTAACTGATTAATTAATATGCATTGAGCCACATGTATAAATATAATAATTTAAAATATCTAACCGTATACAGTTGAAAAAAAAATACAGGCTTATAATAATATTGTCCATTTGTTGGGTATAATTAAACGGCGTAACCGTTAAAATGTATTAATTATTCACCACGCTTAAACATTGTTCAACAATTTAAAAATGACATATTATGAAGTACATATTTAAAAAAAAAAAATCTCTTTAATATCATTATTTTAATTTTAATCATAGTATTAATAATTTTTTATACTTGAAACCATAAGGTAGGTACATTAAAACTCTTTACAATATATTATCTGTTAAAATTTAATAGTGTTTACTAAAAAAAATATGATAGTCAAGTATAAAGTCATTAATGACTGAAAAATATTATTTAAATATCATGATGTTCAAATCAAGTATAGGTATATGTATAGAATTAAATGCGTGCAGTATTAATAATAATAATAATAATAATAATAATAATAATAATAAAATAATATGATAAATACGTATAATAATTTGCACTTAGGCATCCTAAAATAATATATGTGTTACAAACAAATTTAGGTTTATGAATATAAAACATAAGATACATGAAATATAATTGTATAATAAAATTGAATATATCATTAGAATATTAAAAATATTTTGTATCATTGTTACCACACTTAATAATATTAAATTAAAGATCTCTACCATGTTTGAATAACAACACAGCCACAGCTATTAATTGAATACTATAAATACTATAAAGAAAAAAATAATATTTTATATACAATTTGAGTAAACTATATTTTCTACATTATCAGTAAAGGCATAACAAAATTTTGATTTTTAATAAAGAATAACGTATGTAAATCAGCTTATATTAAAATTTTTCGTGTATCTAATTACAGTATAAACCCATTTCTATCAAATTTTAGTGGTTAATTTTCATTAATAAAACGCAAACATTGTTTGAATAATAATAATAAAAAAAAAAAACAAAATAATACTAATGTAATGTAAAGCCACAACTAAAACTAAAAAAAATATTTTGCTCCCATTTATTCAAATGGAGCTTACATAGATATAATAATAAGATAGCCACTTTGGGAATCCAAAAAGCTCAAATTATATAATATTAATTGATATTTGGGTGAATTTTTATATTTTTGGAATAATACAAATAGTTAAATTCAATATGTTGGTTGCATATTGACGAGATAGCCTGAAATGTTGATTTTAAGTGTATAACTCAACAAGTAAATTCTAGTTTTTAATTACTTTATTTGATTCGTATACAAAGTAAAATAATGAATAATGAGTTAAACATGGATTAATTAAATTTTAATTTGTAACTTATTTAAATTAATCTAAACTCACACTGATATAATATGTATCACTTAGAAGTTAAAATTTATGTTTTTTTTTAATATCTTAAACAAACTAATATGATTTATTCACTTGTTCAGCTATCTACTATAGTACTATGTAGTGAAAAGTTATTAATAAGTAAAACATAATATTAATACCTTGGTTCTAAGCATTTGTAAAATTAATAAAACGTAAATTATACAACTTGAATATTAAGTCTTATCTTTCATATTTTATACAAAAATGTATCATTTTTTAGTGATATTTTTAAATTAACAATAAGTGATATAATATTATATACCTTAAAAATGTACCAATTTAATTTTGTTTAGTTTTTTTTTTTTTTTTTTATATTAGTGATTAGTTTTTCTCTATTACAGGCATAATTAATTTGAACGAATGACCCAAAATTTAACTGTGAAGTATCCATATTTTAGGCAATAAATTTACCGATGGTTTGGGTGAAATTTGTTTAAAACAATATCAATATACTATTTTTATTCTCCTAACCACGCACAACATAACCTAACCATTGGGTTTAACAGAATTATTATTTTACTTTTTATTTTTATTATCTAGCTTTAATATTAAAGTAAATTATTGAAATATTATCAAACATAAAGTTGAAACAGTTATTTTATGTTTTTGAGTTATATTTTATATAATTTAATGTACATAACATAAAAATTACTATATTTATGTAAATTCGTCCAAAAAGCACTTACAATCATACCAGTTAACTGAGAATTATTATAAACTTAAAAAAATGGAAAATGTATTAGATATGTTAGGTATCAATTTAAATTTCAGCTAAACGACATAATATATATTAAAAATTCACCCAAATTAAAATTACCCTGTGTCTTTAAAAATGTTATGCACTATAGTAGGTACCTTAAAAATAAATCGCTGAATTTTTTTCTATCCAAGAACAAATCACTCATAACAGTCATAATATTTTCAGCCAAAAAGGATTTTGTATAATATACTATACTATGTCCCATAAATTTATTTTTATAGATGACATTATGCAAAACTAGTATAGAAAATCGTATTATATATATATATAATATTAGAGCTGTAATAAAATAGTTTTGTTATAGAAATTTGTTAGTATTTTATTTTATTGACACCGCTCAAACTTTAAAATGGTATAGAAATCCATAATATAATATAAAAAAATATGAGATATAATAAGTTTATCAAATTCGAAGAAGATAAAATAGTGAATTATTTATGTATAAATATTTGTAAATATGTAGGTGTTATTTACGAATTAATTAAACCATTTTTAACCAATCTTCATTTTTTTTCTAATTAAAATGTTTATTAACCTATTTAAATGTCTATTAAGAACAAAAAAATATATATTTCTTTTCATTAAAAACCAACGGTGCAGTGTTTAGAACAACTTACTTTCTTAAAAAATTATTCTAGATTTGTATTGTCTATGCAATAATTTTCACAATTGTTTGGTTGGAACTCGTTCAATAAATGTCGTTTTTTTAACAAATTATTAATTAGGTTCCTATTAGTTCTTTGCATGGTCCGATTTTAATTAGCTCGGTCCTAACATACAAAAACTATTGAATTGTTGGTTTGTCCGGTTTAATACAATATTTTTTAGGAGTAATTCGATATTGTCTTCAGATAAAATGCATTATTATCAGTCCAGTCTAGTTTCAATCACGGTACTTAAAATCTAAATTAGATATTATTGTTATATAATACATATAAAATGAAAAACGCCAAATAAAAACTTAAAATACAAATAAAATTTATAAAGTTATTGTACTGATTGCTAAATGTCGGTTGTCCGTAAATATCATCGGCTACCACTTGTCAGACGTGAAGGTCATAGGATATAATTTTATTTTTATTCATAGAATTTATAAATCATAACACGTAATTTCGGCAAATTAAATAACATTATACCGAATATTATTATAGCATCGTATGGTTCGGTCTGGGTTAATATTGGCTGAACCTTACGGTCCGGTCAATAAACGGTCCAAATTTTTTTTTTAAATCGAATCGGTAGTCTGGTCCCGGTCTACTCTATTCGTTTAAATTTAATTATCAGCCAGGTCCAGTTTATAAATAATATGTAGCTATGGGTTCAGTTAAAATTTGGTCTTCTGTTTAACTTTTAATTGTGGTCTGGTCCAAATTTGGTATCTTGTTAAAATTTGAAATTCGGTCCGGTCCCTAAAATAATGGACCAAACGAACCATGCAGAGCACTAGTACCTATACTATGCATTTTAATACGAAAAAACATTTCATTATCATATATTATCGACTCATTTTAATATTCTGTAGTTAAAAATAATACATAATTATTGTTCTATATTTTTCAATATAAGTTTAAATAATCTCTACAGTATCATAAAATATGGTAAATAATTTTAATTTAAATATCAATTGATATAACTGATACCAGAGTAAAATATGTATAATAATAACTTCTAAATATATAATATTATTGAATAACAGGAGTAACAATATTTTGTTATTAAAATTACATAATGAATTACATTTAAATGAACTGTCTTCATAATGATTGTTTAAGACATTTTATAATGGTTTTTTGAACGAGACAATAATACATATTGGAACTTTTAAATAACAGAAAAATATGTATGTTTTAATAATTCTAAGTATTGTATTAACATTCTGTAGTGAAATTAACGTAATATAATTATTAATTTGCTATAAAAAATGTCTAGCTTTTAATTAATGAGATGTATACACATTCCTCACTGTTTCGTAAAAGTATATGAAAACATTTATATTGTATTTCGTATTGATTAATAAAAATGTATTCGTGTTATGTTGGACGTATTTAGATAAATAATAAAAATAATCATATCGTTAAACAGTTGAAGTAAAAAAAATAGATATTAATCAACTGTAAAATTATTACTATTATTTAATTGTTTTGTTTAAATTTAAATGTAATGGCCTTTAATAATGTCATCAAGCATCATACAATATTTTGTTGATAACGGTTTAAACCCATAATATATAATATATATTTTTTTTTACTTAATTGATTACATTTTGGTATGCCCTTTCATAATATTATTAAGTTAAGATGAAAAATGTATTCTTATTCTTATTTGTGTATTCTCATACTGAATGTTACCCATTAAAATTTAGTGTATTTAGTCATTTTTAATAATATGTGTATAAAATAACTGTTTATAAAATATATATCTAGGTATATATGTATATATATATTTATTGACATGTAATTATATTTTTTTTTTACGACAGTCATCCGATCAAATAGTTCATAAAATGATTTTGATACCTTTATTAATATTTGTTTAGACATAAATATAGACGTATTATATCATGATTTTAGTACACAACAGAAACCTTTAAAAGAGTCTAAAGAAACATAACTTTCTCCACGTCGTCTTCTTTGATTTACTATCATCTGAATTCTGTCAATATATATTGCCTTTGCTATAATTGTATTTTATTCTAGTGTACAATCAATTTTTTATAACACGAAGTAATTCTGCATTTTAAATAATAAGTTAGTTTAAGATAAAAGTTTTTATTGTATTTTACTCGTTATACCTGATTGACTTAATTATAAAATTATTTTGAGCAACGTTAAAATAGTTCAATATATTTTACATTGATTGAAAAAAGTTCTACCTAGAATCCTGCTGGAAATTTTAATTGTATCTAATTGTTGAATCTAGACATCATGTAGTAAAAAAACAAGTAGCTGGAAATTTTGCAACCCAACCGCTGTTGCAATCATAATGATTGGTATAAAAATAAATAAAATAATTCTAAAGTATAAATAATATAA